TTTCCTTCTATTCCCATGTTCTAGGCTATGTCCCTATTTTAAAATGCTTTGCTTTCCCCAAACTGTAGAAAAATAAATTCAAATGTATTCACCTGGATTCAAGTAAATGCCTCTGTGAGCTCAGACTGTGCATATGTGTGTGTGTGTGTGTGTGTGTGTGTGTGTGTTGATTCCTTCAGTCTCAGCTCCATCCCTAGTTCTCCTCTGTGCCTTCCAGAAGGAGCAGGCACCTGATTCTCCCTTGGCAGCTTGTATAGGGCAGGGAGTTGTTGAAAACCTCTTCTGCTCAATTTCAGAACCTCCTGAATTCTGGGAGCAAAAGGTTTTCTATGCCAAGAATCAGGTTCTCAGGTGCAAGGGTGTGCTTGAGAACTACAGTCTGTCCTCTCCTTCCGGGAGGGAACCATGTCCTTACGCTGCCGTGAACTGTGTCCTCAAGTGTCATTGGAACTTCTCTGTGAAGACAGATGTCTAGAGTTATCCTCCCACCCCTTTTATTCATCCCAAAACCATTGAGGACCAACAGGAACAGGCCTTATGTTAGGTTGACTGGGAGATGAGGAGTCAAGCTTGGTCCTTGCTTTCAAGGAGATTACAAATTTTCCTCTTAGAATTCTCCTGAATTACCTTCCAATGAAGGGAACATAGAAAAGGGTCCTTTTTTCAAACGATAACAGCTGTTTATTGGGAGTTCCCTGGCAGTCCAGTGGTTAGGGCAAGGCACTTTGATTGCTGGGAGCCAGGTTTAATGCCTGATTGGGGAACTATTATCCCTCTAGCCTCCTGGCAAGGTCAAACAAAACAGCTATTTATTGAGTCTTTCTAAGCATTCTAAATGTTTTAAATGTATCAACTTAATTAGCTATTATTACCATTGTCCCTGGGGCTTCCTATGTGGTGTGGCAGTAAAGAATCCACATGCCAATGCAGGAGACCTAAGAGACGCATGTTCGACGCCTGGGTGGAGAAGATCCCCTGGAGGAAGGAATGGCAACCCACTCCAGTATTCTTGCCTGGAGAATCCCATGGACAGAGGAAATGGGTGGGCTACAGTCCATGGGGTTGCAAAGAGCCAGACAGGACTGAAGCGACTTAGCACATCGACATCCACAGTACACAGTTGAAAAAGCAGTCACACGACTAGTGAATTAGAGCTGAGGTTCAAACCCACAGCCCCTGGCTGCAAACCCCATTGTCTCAACCACATCAACACTTCCTCTTGAAGGGGCCATGAAAAACCAGGAGGGAAGCAGTGTTTTGTAGTGTTCTGGAGCCACAAGAGTGTGGCTGAGTGCTTCTGCCACCCACACTGGGAGACAACAGGCCAAGGCAGGGAGGGAAGCCTCCCTGGTCAGAATCCTGACCCTGCTACCTGCTTCCCAAGCCTAGAGGGGCTCTCCGCTCTTGAGGCATGTTCTCCTGAAAGAGGTGAAATATGTTATTTCCAAGAGCTGCAGGGTACCCTGTGGAGTGAAGCAGAGAGGTGTTGTCACCTTTGCTTGCACTCCTCTTAAGAACTTATTTAAAAGCCTTGCCTGTCCTCTTTTTACACCAGGACTTTCTACTCAAGATACCCAGGACAGAGCAGGAGAAATGTCTGGTTAATGATGCAGGAGCCTGCCCCACCCCGCAGGGGATGGGGTATAGGGCAGGGGGCCCTGGAGAGCGCCTGCTTTCTCGGCCTGTGGAGCGGACTGCTGCAGGATGGGGGGTTTGCACACACAGAGGTGGCCTTTTGCACTGGCCTCTAACTTTTTCTATTTTCCTAAAGTCTCTGTCACAGAAAGATTCTTAGAGGAGTCTGGATTTCTGGGGCTGAAATAAGGCTGTGTCCCCTCTCCTATCACATGTGCATGTGTATTCATGAGGTTGTGTGCAGGTGTGCCAAATTGCTTCAGTCATTTCCAACTCTCTGCTATCCTATGGACCATAGCCCACCAGGCTCCTCTGTCCATGGGATTCTCCAGGCACGAATACTGGAGTGGGTTGCCATGCCCTCCTCCAGGGGATCTTCCCCACCCAGGGATTGAGCCCACGTCTCTTAGGTCTCCTGTGTTGGCAGGTGGATTATTTACCACCTAGGAAGCCCCATTCGTGAGGTTATAGGGGGTCAAAATGATCCAGACTGCACAAGCCATGGGGTACCGTTTTTGAACAGAGCAGCACCCTTTCCCCCGTCCACTTTCTCTCAGCAATTGACTTGTTCCTTAAATCCTACAGTTCCTGAAACTTCCAGTGGCTCTGTGAAGCGCCCAGTGCTAATTTTGTGGAAGGCTCTCCCCAGTGTCTGTAGAAACTGGAGGACAGAGCAGTCCAGGTGCTGCCACAATGCAGCAGGTGAAACTCCCAGGGTTATGGATCCATCCACCAAAATAAAGAGGAAAATGTGTCAGAGAAGAAAGTTTGTGGGGACAACATCTACTCCTGTATTCTTGCCTGGAGAATCCCATGGACAGAGGCACCTGGAGGGCTATGGCCCATAGGGTAGCAGAGAGTTGGAAATGACTGAAGCAACTTGGGATGCCTGCACACAACTTCATGAATACACATGCACCCATCATAGGAGAGGGTCAGTCAGTCAGTCAGTTCAGTGGCTTGGTCACGTCCGACTCTTTGCGACCTCATGGGCTGCAGCACGCCAGGCTTCCCTGTCCATCACCAACTCCCAGAGCCTACTCAAATTCATGTCCATCACGTCAGTGAGAGGGTACACAGCCTTATTTCAGCCACAGATTACCTGTCATCACAGTAGTCCACTCTCTGAACTGAATCTGTGACGATTTCACCCTGGCTTACATTTTCTGGGTGTTTCAGGATTTCTCATAATTTATGTGCATCCCTAGATCCCTTTCCTGGCGTTGCCTATGATGAGTGAAAATACTGTCACTTTCCCCTGCCCCTTTAGTGCTAGGAAGGATTGGGCTTGAGTAACCTTCAGTGAGGGGATGGGGCCAGTTCTGAGAGCCTCATCACAGGCCAACCACAAAAAGAAATGCACAGGGGATAATGCATGTGTTCATATCACCATCCATTTCTTTTTTTAAGGAAAACTTTGTTTCAAAGCCTTTCCCTCTGGCTTTCAAGTGAAAATCCACAAGGCACCATACAAGCAGTGTCTAAAGCATCTTCTGTCTGTCAGTGAGATCTTATTAGGAAGGTATAGTCAGTATCCCCAGTTCACAGAATAAGGAAGCAGGTCCAGAGATGTCTGCACCCACTGAGGTCAAAACTAGCATGTTAGAAGGAGATAAAATTCATTTCTGGTCACCTAGAACCTTGGCCACCGCACTGTAAGACTTCTTACTCCAGTGAGAGAGTCTGAGCAGAAAAAAGCCAGGGCTTTTCCTGTATTGTCCTCCAAGTAACCATTAGCAATCGGAGCTGAAGTTTGAATGGAGGTGAAATAAATGTGTCAGGATTTTCCTTGTACAAAAAGAGGAAAGGTTATATCCAGGTGTTTTTCGATAAAAGGAACCTCAATGACAGCCCCAGTGGCACAGTCAGTAAAGAATCCACCTGCAATGGAGGAGATCCAAGTTTGATCCCTGGATCAGGAAGATCCCTTGGAGAAGCAAATGGCTACCCACTCCAGTATTTTTGCCTAGGAAATCTCATGGACAGAGGAGCCTGGCAGGCTACATCCATTGGGTCACAAGAGTCAGACACTTAGCAACCACAGCCAACCCAAATGATAACCCAACATAATAGAACTTTGGATTTTTGACTAATGAGAAAATTACAGATTGGGCATCATTGACTCAATGACATGAGTGTGAGCAAACCTCAGGAGATAGTGAAGGACAGGGAAGCCTTGTGTGCTGCGATCCATGGGGTCACAAAGAGTCAGACAGCAGCAGCAACAAACTGGACTTGCTGAAAGACTTTCCCGGGTCATAGGGCTGGACACAGCCAGAACTGGGCAATTCCCCACCTCCCTGTCCAGTGCTTATTCTCTGAAAATGCAAGAAAAAAATAACTGGTGACAGTGTGTTCTGGGAGCCACTGTGGCTGGAGCCATGGTGGGAGGGGCTGTGGGACTGGCCTGTAGGAGGAGGGGCAAAGCGAGTTGGATGTTCTTGGATAATTCTGGCTCTTATTTTCAAATACTGATACAGCTCTGGAACACTGTGGATGGGGTCACCCACTTTAAAATTTGTTTAGAATCCTGTGTTTATTTGATGGAGAAGGAAATGGCAATCCACTCCAGTACTCTTGCCTGGAAAATCCCATGGATGGAGAAGCCTGGTAGGCTACAGTCCATGGGGTCACAAAGAGTCAGACATGACTGAGCAACTTCATGTTTGTTTGTAGTGCTTCCAACTGTCCTGAAGGATCTTCTCCCTTGTTTGCCTTTGGGAGGCAGAAGCCCTTAGACTGTCCTGGCAGGTCCAGCAGCAAAAGTAACCTTTCCCCCTGGCCCTCCAGTGCCCCCTCAGTCCATCAGGGCAGTGATTCCAGTCTTAGCTCACCAGGCAGGATTCCAAGTTGGGGAATGTGCGGTGGAGGTAAGGGGTTAACAGTGGCATCCTAAGACTGAGACCCTCCCTTCTCTGAAGCACAAACCACTGTTCAGATGCCTTAAGCTGCAGCACAGCTGGGAAAAAACTGGATGATAAAGAAGATATACAATAGCACCACACTTCACCACTCACCACACATAGTATGGGGAATAAAAGTTGCTGCAGTGAGAGAATAAATGTATTGTGATTCAAAAAGCTGCCCTCTGTGGCGGCCAGTGCAGATGGAGCTGGAGATCAGGAATGGGGGTGAGCTGAAGGAGATGGCATTTTTCACTGGGAATGAATGCCTGGGATGAGGATGCTCAGTTATTCTGCTGAGCTGGGCTTGAGGATGACAAGTGTAGCTTGAAACCATGCCAGACCATGGAACGGGTGAAGTGGGGGAGATGAGAGCTGCACTCTGGAGGAACCAGCCTGGGTGAGGGCCCTCTGCTGCAGGACGTGGCTGAGAGGGGGAGTGGTGGGGNATGACAAGTGTAGCTTGAAACCATGCCAGGCCATGGAACGGGTGAAGTGGGGGAGATGAGAGCTGCACTCTGGAGGAACCAGCCTGGGTGAGGGCCCTCTGCTGCAGGACGTGGCTGAGAGGGGGAGTGGTGGGTCTCCTGCTGGGGTGCAGTGACCCCTGACTCCAGGAGAGTGAAACTCTCCCCCAGTGTTTTATTTTAACTTGCATTTTTTTGTTGTTGTTGTTGCTGTTGTTCACTTGTTTTTTGCTTTACCCACCCACTGCTTTCTAGGGTTTTGGAATCTAGCCAGTGCCTGACCCCAGCATAGTTCCAGAGCCCTAAAAGGTGAACCTGTCTGTATGTTGAGGGAGCACTGTTCAGGCCCACGGGGCCCTGGAAATGTTAGACTTTCTGGGAAATGAAGCCTGGGTATTCTGGAGGCTTTGGAGGTAAAACTATGGCTGGATTGTCCTTGCCTCCTATTTCGCTAAGGCAAGCAGTATCCTCCCACACCAGCAGCTGATGAGGGGCACAGGACCCCTCAAGGCAAAGAGCCAAGGCTCCACGAGGCCTTTCGTGTCCTCCCCAGGGCGCACGGACCGGATGCCGTGCTGATGGCCGAGGGCAACCCGCCGACGGAGCTGACGCAGTCGCAGATGCTGCACATCGCCCAGCAGATCGCTGCAGGCATGGTCTACCTGGCGTCGCAGCACTTCGTGCACCGGGACCTGGCCACCCGGAACTGCCTGGTGGGCGAGAACCTCCTGGTGAAGATCGGGGACTTCGGCATGTCCCGGGACGTGTACAGCACTGACTACTACAGGGTGAGTGGCTGCACCCCTGAGGAGACCCCAGGGCCCGCCTCCCTGGGGACCTCCTGTATTCATGTGCTAGGGCTGCCACAACAGAATACTATAGGCTCAGTGGCTTGCACAGCAGAAGATGATTTTCACACAGCTCTGGAGGCTGGAAGTCCAAGGTCAAGGTGACTGTAGGGTTGGTTTCTTTTAAGGCTTCTCTCCTTGGCTTGCAGTCTGTGCCTTTTTGCTGTGTACATCCTCACATGGTCTTTTCTTTGTGCGCGTACATCTTTGGGGTCTCTCTCTGTGTCTAAATTTCTTCTTATAAGAATGCCAGGCAGACTGGCTTAGAGCCCACTGTAATGGCCTCATTTTAGCTTAATCATCTCTTTAGAGGCCCATCTCGGAATACAACAGTATTCTGGGATACTGGGGGCTAAGGCTTCTACATATAAATCTGGGGAGGACATAATTCAGTCCGCAACACCATCCTGCCCTTTCCATGGTTCTCTAGATATTGTCAAGAGAAAGATTTCAACATGAGAGTTGTGCCAGGGGAAGCCTGAGGACTTTAGGAGGTAAGAACATGCCTGTCCTTGCCTTTGCTTCTCCCATCATGATGTTTCTTTGAGCAAGAACCTCCTTTTGTCTCATGTACTCCTCCTTGAAGCCTCCCTCACCTCAATGTCTGCCTTCTAGCTGAGCTGACTTTGCTACGATTAGTCTAAGACAATGAACCAATTGCCTGGCTGCAAATTCTCCTGTGGATTGTTTTGTGGGGTTTCTTCCTTTGTCATTCTGATAAGCATTTTGATAAGCACCTGTTCTAAGTCTAGTGATGACTAGTTTGGTCTAGAAAGCTAAAACTTGGCAGGAGGTTACATGTCAGTGGATGTGTGTTCTGTTAGCTCTGCTTCCTTGGCAGGAAGTGGAGAGAAGGGGGCATTTCCCTGTCCCAGGAGACAAATGAACACATAGGTTCTTCCTTAAAAACAATCTTTACTGATCTTGATGAGCATCCAGGGAAGAAACATGTGGCCCTGGCAATGGCTGTCCCTTTCACAGTAAGTTAATAAAGGTTTCAGAGTGGTCTGGCACAAAATAAGTGCTCAGTAAATATTTTCAACTTTATCATTATCCAGATCAATAAAGCTATGCTTCATTCTCAAAGCTGTGACTGAACGAGGTGGAACTCAGTGTCCTTTTCTACAATCTCTATAAAAATAATTCTGAAGAAAATGACTGAAAAACTTAACAATATGAAGATAAATTACCCAATTATAAAATAGATGAAAGATTTAAGTTTCTTTCGGTGCCCCCAAAGAAAATATACAAATGGCCAATAAGTACATAAAATGATGCTCAACATCATCAGTCATTAGGGAAATGTAAATCAAAACCGCAATGAGGTACCCCTTCACATCCACTGGGCAAAACAGGCAATAAGAAGTGTTAACAGGGATGTGGAGAAATTGGAACCCTCATAAATTGCTGGTGTGAATGTAAAATGGTGTAGTTGCTTTAGAAATAGTTTGGCAGTTCCTCAAAATGTACAACAGAGAGTCATCATATAACTCAGAAATTCTACTCCTTGGTATATACCCAAGAGAATTAAAACCACATGTACACACACATGCACACACACACACACAGGTACACAAATGATATAGCAACATTATTCATAATAGCTCAAAAGTGGAAACAGTTTAAGTGTCCATCAAATAGTAAACAGATAAACAACATGTGATCATCAGTATGATGGACTATTATTAATTAATTAAAAGGAATAATGATGTAGCGATTCATGCTACAATATGAACCTTGAAAACATTATTATGGTTAAGTGAAGGAAACCAAGCATAAAAGGTCACATACTACATGATTCCATTTATACGGATTGTCCAGAATAGGGAAATCCACAAAACAGGAGGTGGATTAGTTGTTGCCAGAAGCTAGAGGACAATGGAGAATGAAAAATGACTGGTTCTGGATATGGAATTTCTTTTTGGAGTGATGAAAATGTTCTATAATTGTGTAGTGTGATGGGTGTTTAGTATGTGTGTAAATATAATAAAAATCACTGAACATGTACTTTAAAAGGGTAAATATCATGGTAGAAGAATTATATCTTGATTCTAAAAGCTTTAAAAATACTAGCAAAGCAATGACCATCATTATAGACATGAGAATTTAGCCTTGGTCATTTATGCATTTTAAAACCCTGTCATTTGTCATCTACCGTATATTCTGACTTTGTTAAAAAGAAAATCCTCCATTTAGTGACATTTTCTTGAAGTATTTCCTTCTGAATAGATTGGAGGAAGTAATGATTCCCAGTTTCTTTATTTGTTAATGTTCTTCACAGAACTATCCCAGTCATTAAGAAATGATGTGCTTCAGGTGCCACATTGATTTAATCCCCCCGCCATGGTGCCTACTCAGTTGCAGCTGCAAGGTTTATATGTTCACTTTGTTGTTTGTTGTTCCCATTGAGGATGAGGAGAAAGAACCAGCCTTACCTTGACCTCTGTGACAGGTGGGCCAGGTGGGATTTGGTACAAAGTGGATGATGAGCTTAAGAACTGGCCGATTTAGTAGTAGCTTAGAAAAAATGACTTCCGTGGTGGCTTAGATGGTAAAACATCTGTCTACAATGCAGGAGACCCAGGTTCGATCCCTGGGCAGGGAAGATCCCCTGGAGAAGGCAATGGCAACCCACTCCAGTACTCTTGCCTGGAAAATCCCATGGATGGAAGAGCCTGGCAGGCTGCAGTCCACGGGGTCGCTACAAGTTGGACACAACTGGGCGACTTCACTTTAGAAAAAATAAGAAATTATGAATTTCATTTTGCTTTCTCTAAAATTTTCAAATGGTAATCTACTTTTTGGTTCCATTAAAGTATTTACTGTCATAGAACGCATTTGTAGAATATATTTGCTTATTCAAATACCAAAATGAACTCCTATCCATGGAGTTCATTCTCTTGAGTTTGTCCAATGAACAAGTAGAAGCCGTTGCTCTGTTTCTGCACGTGAGTCCAGCATGACTTTGGGCTATCTCCCAGGACACTTTTGCTTCCATGTAAGTTACCCACCTGTTGGATCATCCATAAGCTTAGTGTTAAGCCCATCCCCATCATGGTTTCTCTTCATCTTTTCTGCCATGGAAGCTGGGGAATCTGTTCTCCTTACAGCTCATTTGTGGGCACATTTTTGTAGTTATTTTGTTCTCAATTTCTTCAAAAGTCTTCACACTCCAAGGTGGGGAACTGCTGTGGCTGATGTGGGCTGTCATCATCACCACTGTTAATATCCTTCCTGCACAGTAGTGGAGGAGGACTTTTGTCTTCACCAAGGGTATCTTCCATGGAAAGTTGCTGTTTGGGCATGGAGTCAACTGGATTAAGGAGTTACATGTTCTTTATCTTTAAGCAAGAACCAATCCTGCTGACAGCCTGAGTCTTCTGCTCATGGTGGCTTGTGAGCTGCCGTGCGGGGTGGCCCCAGCTCTGTGTGATCCATGGCAGGAGGGGCGGGTGGCAGCTGTTCCTCCATCATGGAGGAGCTGGCAGCACCAGGAAACGGCTGCCTCAAAGCTTCCACCCTGTTGCAGCTGAGCTAATTATATCTTCCTAAAGAAGGAAGAAATCGGAACACTACATTTGCATTGAAACCAGCCTGATATGGCAGGTCCAAAATTACTCTAGCATTTATGTTCTCTGAATTGTTTTAATTAGCAGCTCTGCAGTACCAGTCTTTCATTTCGTTTTTATTCCTTCCCTCCACTGGCGAGGCCTGGCATTTAGGAAGCATCTGAACCAGATTTTTGTCACATTCTGCCTGTCAGAGACCTAGGATCTCAGTCTACCTGATCATTACTATGCCTCAGTGGATCCACTGAATTTTTTTAAATGTGTGCTTTGGTATTTTCCATGATTTGGTTTCAACATGCCTTTAAAATGAATGGTGACCATTGGTGAGTACAGAGCCCCAAAGATACGAAATCCTCACTTTTAAGTCTTATACAACACTCTGAATTTTAGTTTTATGGTGGTGGGGGTAAGCAATCTTATCCTTTAATTCATCTTTCACTTAAGAAAAAGCAAGGAAACAGAATTAGAAAGCTCATTAATAGTGGACATTTAAAGAAGCAAGCGAATCTAACTTGGTTAAAGACCATGGTGAGAATCCTAAAGTGTTAAAATGATATAAATAAGTCTGGAAGTCATCTGCAAGTGCTTAATACAGTTTATCAACAGCAGAGAGAAAGGAAGACAAGTTTTGTTAAAATAAGCTGATATAACAAGTAGCAAAAAGAACTGTTTTGAACTTTAGGTACTTTGTCCCTTACTCTGCCTACCCCGGAGGAAAAAGGGTGATAAACTAGAAAATAAAGTCCTGAACCATAGAAGAGAGAACGCTTAGGTAATTTAAAAAGTGGACAAGCACATGAGAAATAATCAAGGGTTAATTTTCATACCTTGGTCTTGAAAAAAAATTGTTTATTTTTTAAGGAATATTTGCTTGTAATGTGAGCATTTCTAAATAGATAGGTAGGTAGATGATAAATAGAGAGATAGATGAATAGATCGATTGTTGAGTAGGTAGGTAGATCTTAACTCATGCCACAGATTTTTTATGGTGCTGTGTAAAATGCTCAGGTCATCCCCGCTATGAGGAGCAGCACTGTGTCTACCTGGTGATAACTGCTGATTCCTAAGAGATAACTTCAGTTCCACCACTTCCCTGACTTCCTCCAAGCAGAATAATGGCTGACAAATCTGTGATTCCTCAATACTTCTAAGAAATAAGCATTTCTTATTTCTAAGAAATAAGACAGGGAATATAGATCCCTGTGCTATACAAAAAAAAAAAATAAATAAATAAAATCTGAACTTTGGGGCAGTAATAAAAAATAAAAAAGAAAGAAGACAGAGCATTTTGCATCATGGAAATCTGCTCATGTCTTCTCGTTGATATGAGAGCAGAGAGAGGACAAATCTTATCTATCTTTGTATCTGTGC